TATTATATTTAGATATGTAGATATATATGCACACATATACACACAAGTGTGTGTTTGTATATACACACACATAGAGAGAGAGAGCTTGAAAGTCAAAGCAGTTGTGCTAGAGTACTTGAATTCCCAACTGCCAGATACTATTGATTTCAGAGGAGGCTGAACTTTACAACTTGATCTCAAAACTTGCTACGTCTGGCAATAAATGCCTACATATTCGGGTAGCCGTTTACGCATCACCAAAAAAGACAGCGTCCATTTTAAATAATATTTGTTCACCTCATTTTCTACAACTGAAATTCTCTGAATAAAATTAAATATTAATATACTGCTAACAACAACAATAACAACAACATACTTTGGAGCATCACAGAAGTGTTCAACCTCTTTCCCGCCATCCATTTTTCTACTCTACTCAAGCTAATTCCCCCTACGTGCATCTATACATACATAAACAACCCTAGACGCGTGTTTACCTTCATTTGCAGGTAAGGAACAGTTTTCAGCTCCAGGGCTGCATTGCCCCATAGAGAACCTACACACACACCTCTCTATCCAGCAAGAAATAGAAATGATCACAGTTCAAGAATTCAATCTAGCCAGGCAAAAGCATCCACAGAGCAGAATCAGGGAAAAGGAGGGCTAAAAAGAGAGTTGCGGAGGGCTGCATTTGGCCCCTGGGCCTGAGGTTCTCCATCCCTTCATTGTGTGCTTCTTGAAGCTCACAGAGGGAAACAAACTTACAGCAGGCAGCCCTTCCCTTCACTGCTCAGAATGTCCCCAACTCGTCTGTTTTGGGGTTTGTTTTTAAGGCTGCTTAGAATGTTTGCTTCTCCTCCAGGTTATAGCTTCATTCAGTGTTTGGGGCAAGACATTCTTCTTCCCAGCTGTGTTTTACTGTGAGGCCAAACAAGTTACAATAATGGAACGCCCTCTTCCCAGTCCCCTCTTCTTGGGGAAGAAGGCAAGCTCAATAAGCTACACACACCAAAAGCAGCACACAATGGCATTGGGTGAGGTACATAGGAACTATTCCCCAGCAATTTCAGTGCCAGTCAGGCACAATGGATCTCTTAGACTCCTGCTGATGCTCAGATGTGAAAAAGCATCCCGTTGGCTGCTTTGGTGGTTCCAGTAATAAATAACACTTAAAAGACCGGGAAATAGTACAAACCATCTTCAAATGTGAGAACACCTTATAAAGTGTTCCCAGGAGATGTAGTACGATTTTATTTGACATTTATTTAAAGATCAGCTCCTCCAAATGACCAATCATTTCCAGTCAATAGGCTTGTTAGCTATACGAGATTTCTTGTTGCCATTTCCTGAGTTTTAAATAGCCTGCATGACTTGAAAATAAAAACCGGTTCTCTTCAGTAATGGGTATCTTTTTCCTGCATGGAAGGGTCCGTAAAACGATTCCCTTGACCAGATGCGCATTCAGACTCATTTGCTCTAATCCAGTGGCTCTGATGCACATGTACACACAGCACAGCACTTGCGGGCAAGGACTGTCCCATACACTTCATCATCAGGGATTTGCATGCATTGACAGCAGAGTAAATATGGGAGTTACGGCAGAACTTTGCATGAGCAGTGGAACACTTAATTGCTGCAAAACTCAACAGGCATCAGGACTATTAACTCATCCCCCCATCATGTTTAGTGAACTTGTGATGAAGGAAACTTCTAGCCACACTCTTGAAGTCAGCTTGGCCACAGGCCAACTCTCCAACATCCACACACTTAATGTTGATGGGCTATGAGCATATACATGCATAGGGCTCCTCCATTTGATTTGAGACCCTGGGGTAGGGGGATTCCTGATCACATAGAACAGTGTTTCCCAAACTTGGGTCTACACCTGTTTTTTAAGACTACAATTCCCATCATCCCTGACCACTGGTATAGCTAGTTAAGGAAGATGGGTGTTGTAGTCCAAAAACAGCTGGAGCAAAATTTGAGAAACACTGAAATAACCATATGTGTGTAGCATCCCTTAATGTTAATTGAGTGACAGTCAGGAGGCATGGATAATGGGCATGCTCTCTCCCTCTCATGAAGTCACTGGATTCATGAGGGGAACTAGTGAACAGTCCTCTTTTCCATTTAGGGATGGGGAACCTCCTATGGCTACTCAGATGTTGCTAGATTCCAGCTTTCATCAGACCAAGCTAGTATGGGCAATAAATAGGTGAAGTTACAGCTGCTTTGCTTTTTTGCCCTAAGAGATCACATCTTTGAGGGATGGGGAAAGTATGGCACATCAGAAGAATTCGTAAGAAATTGCAATTGTTCGATCCTCTTGGTCCTTTCTAATCCTATGGCTGAGACAAGCAATGGCAACATGGAGACAGAAGACAGAGGATACTGAAAAGTCTAAGTATAAGGACACAGTGACGGGTATTTATTGCTTGGATAGAATGTGGAAATCACAGAAGGTTATGGTCAGGTCTGGTCCTTTAGCCAATGTGTACCATCCAAGGAAGGGCCCTTCTTCAGAGCGAGGCACCGAGTGATCAGGTGGTTCTTGAGAGTTCCTGCGCCACCACAGCTTTGCAGCTTTGACAAAAAGCTGTTTAAATCTTAGATGCTATCTGCTGCCACCACAATATATTCAGTGGTGCTTTAGTGAGGCCATTTCACTTCAGTCCCCCCAGTGCCCCGGTCTGAGGAAGGACCCTGCAGAAACTCTAGGACAGGAAGGAGGAAGACAAGGAGGGGGAGCAGAGACAGTTTCTGGGCCAATATGTTTTCAGCCCCCATCAACAATGGCTTTTCCAAAAGTTTAGATTTGCCTCAAAAGGTTTGCTCGCCTGCTTTAGGCAAACAAGGTATGCCCTCTAAACAATTATGCCCCCATCCTGGAAAAATTATATATGCAGGTATTGTAAAAGGGTGGGGGGAATTAAGGTTACTCTTGAGCTGATCTTATCGTTTCCAGCCTCCCTTTACTGATTTCCTAGCAGCTGTGATTCTTCCCCTCCTCCTTGTATCCAATGCCAAGTGGGAGGGGGTACAGAATCCATTCCAATGTCAACAGCACCTCCTGGAGCACAAACCATAGATTTGACATGTTGCTATGTACTTCCCATGACAACCATGTTATGCATATAACCGGGAGGTTTGGCAGCCGGCAAAATGGAAAGCAATAAAAGAGGAAAGCATTCCAAATCCAATTTGGAAAGAGGACAAGTCCAGGTTTACTCATGCTTAACACAGCCCTAGCCAGATAGCTTTATCTTTAAAAAGCAAAGCAAACAGGCAGGCAAATAACCTTATTTATTACAGAGGGCACTGTTTTTTTGTTTTGTTTTTAAAAAAATGTTTCAGTGCTATGTGGGGAGAAGATGGGGGGGAGGAGATGAAGAGATTGTGTTTGAATGCGGAACGGCTGTAACTGTTAATTAAAATTAAATAATATTGGGAGAGTTTTGCATTATTCTTCCCAATGTTATATATGGTCCAACCAGACCAGCAGATAGCCCTGAGCTGCCAAACACGAGGGAAAAATACTCAGTTCTGGACAAAAAGAGAAAGACAGAATAGAAAACAAGGCACTGAAAGCATGCAGCGAGAGACAAGACATTCCTCAATAGTCCATGCTTTCTATGTGTGGCTATTTTGCACAGAGATGTATACAGGATGCAATAATTAGCCACCATCATGCACAAGGGCACTGAAAGGCAAATGGTACTGAAGAGAAACACAACAGAGGACATTTCTGTGGAAGGCATCCATTTTGCCTAAGTCCGCTCAGGGAAAAGAAGTAAATATGCAAAAAGAATTTATGTCCACTTTTTAAGAAAGGAAAACTTTCCTGAAACTTCTATACAATTTATGGTTCATTCAGTCCTCATGGGCATCACCCACAGAGAGAAGCAAATTTGACTGAAATCGATAGATCTATAAAAGATATAGGGAAGTGTAAGTACCTAAAATGTGAGAGAAACATTTGTACTGCAACACACTTGTCAATGAAAACACTGGGGTGGGGGGGGGGTGGATTGAGTAATAAAAGAAGGCAAAGACAAACACCATGCAATTGTTTTAGTATACTAGCGCTGCAATCCTATACTTCAGAGGTGGGGAACATCACACCTCTCCAGCCTTTCTATCCAACCCTTAGGACACTCATCAAGACATGTACCAGGCCACAAACCTCCTCAGCCCTGCTCTGTGTCCTCCTCATTTTATTTTCGCCTTTCTAAAATATGTCCTTAAGCAGTGATAATGCCTCTTGCTTGCCTGGATGGAGAGAGCAGAGAGGTGGATATTGAAACCTCTGGTTTTTGTGCAGCTGGAACGTAGCCTTTCATACCACAATACAAGTTACCTCTGCTTCACCCAGGGACGCGGGTGGCGCTGTGGGTTAAACCACAGAGCCTAGGGCTTCCCGATCCGAAGGTTGGCGGTTCGAATCCCCGCGAAGGGGTGAGCTCCCGTTGCTCGGTCTCTGCTCCTGCCAACCTAGCAGTTCGAAAGCACGTCAAAGTGCAAGTAGATAAATAGGTACCACTCCAGCGGGAAGGTAAACAGCGTTTCCGTGTGCTGCTCTGGTTCCCCAGAAGCGGCTTAGTCATGCTGGCCACATGACCCGGAAGCTGTACGCCGGCTCCCTCAGTCAATAAAGCAAGATGAGCGCCGTAACCTCAGAGTCGGGCACGACTGGACCTAATGGTCAGGGGTCCCTTTACCTTTACCTGCTTCACCCACATTTGGGCCTCTAGTTCCACCCACCACTAGGGACTAGCAGATATGTCAGTTTTGGTTTCTTTCAGTGTCTCATTTTTCCTGATTCCATTCTTCGCATTTCCACACCAGTTTGCAATTTTAAAAAGTTCATGTATTGTTTCAGAAATGGCAGGGTGGGGTTTTTTGGTAGCTTCACTTTTAAGTGCAAACTGAATCAAATTTCTCCCCCTGTCTCTAACCACCACTGGCACATGCCCCCCCCCCAATGTTTTCCAGGAGGGAATGCAACCCTCAGGCTGAAAAAGTTTTCCCGGATGGTTCAGTCGGTAGAGCATCAGACTCATAATTTCAGGGTGGTGGTTTCAAGCCCCACAATGGGCAAAATAATCCTGCATTGTAGAGGGTTGGGCTCGATGACCCTCATGGTGTCGGGAATCAAGCCTTTATCAGGAGAAACTGGCCACTCTCCAGGCACCTGGCTTGATCTCCTGTTGACCTCCCTGTCTGCATTCCCCAGCAGGATACAGGCTAGGTCGCGATAGGCGATCCTTCTCAGTGTGAGAAGAACACACCCCTCTTTCCTGCCCCCCCCCCCCGGGCAGGGGAAAGAGATAGACAGAAACGTATTTACATTCCTTTATTTCTGTCTTTGCAGCGTTACAAAAAACATGACTGCTCTCTTCAAGCTCCAGCAGTCGAGAGTGAAACAAAACCTGTACTTCCTGTACAAGAGCAAAAGGAACAGCTCATATTACACTCTGAGCTAATTCCGGTGCATTGCCCTGTGAGTTGACTGTCCCTCTGTTTCCCACGGAACAGTCCTAACATTCCATCATGTGCTGTTTTCAAGCTAGCAGCTCGCGGCTGCATTGCTTCTATATCGTAACACATGGCCCCTTCTAACTGTACAATTATATGATTCTATGATTAAAATATGCACACCTATTAAGGAGTATGGCCCACTGAACTATTCAACTATTGAGTTCCACCAAAGCCCACGCAATAGGGCTTTCCCACTTCTCTCACCATGTGCCTCTACACGCTAAAAAAATGCATTGGGGGGGATTGGGAGAAGTTCTGAACTAGCACATGGGCCAGTGGAGAGGAGAGCAAAAGTGCCTGCATTGAAGGATCAATCTGCTTAGCACTTCATCAAATTGCTGCAAATGGCACTTACTTCTGAGTAGATACAAAGAGCATTGTACTGCCAATACCAAAAAGAGAAATATAAGTGCAAATATTTTTTTTTATCTTCATTATGTTTTCAAGTGACAAAATAATCTGATGTCCTCATTGGCTGTTCAAAGGTATGTTAGTAAGTACCTTTGACATAATATGGTCCTAGTTATTCAATTAAACTATTCATAGCACTATAATACCCAATACAATAATCTTGAAAGTTTGCCACTGGATTAACAATAGTATTTAGAGAGGGAGGGAAGGATGAAGTATTAGAATCTGATACTCATACTAATTCATTGGCAACTATTAAAACAGAACTACAGCTGGAGTAGAATGTCTGTCTTATCAGTTTTGAATGACATAAGCATTCCTCTTTGAATAGGAGGTTAAGCTGTTGAATTCTGGCAGATTTGTAGGTGGAAAACGTCTTTAAACAGTAGATAAAGCAAATTAAACTAATCTATGTGCAAGAGAGAAAGATGTTCTTGGAACCCGCAGAGATAAAATTGGTCCAATAGCCGTCATTCAGTGATATGAGTCAATGGGAATGTCCTCCATCTTTTCTGCTCCTGTAACCTGGAGTCCAAAAACTATTTTTGTAACACTTCTAAGCATTTTTACAATGAATACTCAACACATTCACTGCACTACTTAATGTGTCAAAACCGTGCAAGCACTCTCAATGACAGACTTTTTGCCATACAGGATCTCTGAGTTTTCATTTGTCTACGAATTGAAAAAAGAGCGCATTGGGAGATACAGCTGAAAAAAGCACTCTGCCAGGAATTTGTGTGTGTGTGCGTGCGTACGTGCTACATTCCGTGGAGGTTTTTCTACATCGTTTTCAGCTATGTAGCTTGACTCTCTTCAATATATTGAGAAAGGGGATATTGTAGCTGTAGGCTAGGTACAAAGTTTATACTCAGCTCTGCAGGCCTCTTGAGAATGTACTCGGCCAAGTGCTAGCTTACATGCAGGGCACACAATCCAACAACTCACAGCTGAAAACAGGGACATTCTTCTGTACTTGTATCAATTCTGTCTGGTCTGGTCCATGGCATTTTGCTGCCTGCGGCAATGACAAGGTGGTGCCCTCCCATTTCCCTAAGGCAGGACTGCAGCTCAGTGGCAGAGCATCTCCAGGTAGGTCTGGGAGAGGTCTGAAATCCTGGAGGGCTGCTGCTGGTCACTGTAGAAAATACAGAACTAGATGGACCACTGGGTTTGGCTCTATATAACAAAATAGCTCAGTTGGTTAGAGCATGGTGCTGATAATGCCAAGGTCGCAGGTTCAATCCCTGTATGAGACAGCTGCATATTCCTGCACTGCAGAGAGTTGGACTACATGCTCCTCAGGGTCCCTTCCAACTCTACAATTCTATAATTCTAAGGCAGCTCCCTAACTGTTGTGGGCTGTAGGTGGCTGCAGTCGAGACCTGACACGCCAGGACCAGGGTATGGATGCTAACAATGGTAGCGGTTCAATGGAAGATGGAAACTTGATGAGGCTGGAACACAGGAACAGGAGAAGGAACTGGAGGAAGAACAGGCACACTGGAGCAGGAACTGGCAACAGCAGGATATAAACCACGTTGCTGTGGCAAAGAACCAGGGCAAAATGCTGGCCCTATATACTCCTCTTGGGTTTGCCTCCAGGTGCTGCACATCTCCTGATCTGGCCACACCTGCCAGGCCACACCTGACTCCCCAAGACAAACACAGCAAGGGGCTGATTCTCCTCACTGCACTCAGGGCCTGGCCCCTGCAAATACTCATGGTACTCCTTTCACCAAGTTCCTGTACCAAAGCTTCCCAGGCTGAGAGTTGAAGGGCACGCTGTAGAACACACACAACACTGAAATTGCCAGCCCTGCTGTTTCAGCCATTTGATGCAGCCACTTCATTCTGCCTCACGGTAGGGCTGGCTCTGGTTTCTATTTTCAAAACTAGAATAACTGCACAAGCTCATATACAGCTCACTGCACCTTCTCTATGTTTATACTTCACTAGCCTCTCTTATACTAGGCTTCCTATGCTATGCAGGATATGAGAGTAAACTAACCATAACTTTCCTTTTTAGGTTCCAACCCTATGCACACTTAGATGTCTCTACAGGTACTTCTAGCATGTGTTGGTTTTGCATGTGTTCAGTCAGTCATACATCCATTCTGCTGCCCCATTTCTGTGATTAAAAAAAATACAACAGCATGGAAATTTGCATTTGTGCACATGCTTTAACCTAAAACATGCATCTATGGATTTTGTTATATTGTTTAATGGATAACTATAGTGCAAAATTCAGAGAACTGTGAAATCTCAAGGGCAACTGCATTCCGATCTGCGGGAGTTGTGGACCAGGCTGCTGCACTTACAAATGTGAACCAAACAAAAGCTTCCAGCATTCCTCCTTGGAAGAAAGCCCCACTGATCACAGTGAGACTTGTGTACAGGATCGCATCACCTACATGCTTAATAGAAGGCTTAAACTCACATGGGGCATGGTTGTGGAACTTACTACAGAATAGCTGAAAATTCAGACACAGACGGAAAAGAAGTTCGTAAAAGTGTGTGCAAGGCATAATAAAAAAAAAGTACTTAAAGCGGGAGGGCAGATCATGATTTACCAGGGACATGGATAAGAACATAGGATATGTCCTTAGTTAAAGGGGGTAGTTGGGACACATGTTGTATGATCCATATGAAGAGGAAACATAGGGATGTCAATTGGCTCCCCAAAGAGAACTACAGAGCTGATCAGATCATGGTGAGAGCTATCAACCTACGCCTACTTAAAGGCTCAGCCACTTCACTCTGGTTGTCATTATTCTGTTTATATGATCATCACAAGCATTATTACTGCAGGTACATTGTGCTCTTCTGCAAAAGCAAGTCTCAGAATGACTTACAACATACAGGATGGCATGGGAGGAGGTGGTCCTTAAGTATCCTGACCAGGGCTGGATTTAGGTTTGATGAGGCCCTAAGCTACTGAAGGTAATAGGGCCCTTTATATGTCCAGCTGTAATATGTCAACAACAAATTCTCACTGTTTTTTGGGCTGAATATATGCCATGCAACCAGTCCATGCAGAATGTAGGCAACCTATATATAGAAATGAGCAAACCAGTGATATTTTAGGGAGCAGGCTAGCAGGTGGGGCCCATTACTTACATCATAGGAACCTACACAACACAAAACACTGTTGCTGCATTTAGGTTTAATTTATTTGTTTTTTATTTTATATTTTGGAAATGTACATCCAGGGGTTTTTTTCCTTTAAATTTTTTGGGGGGGCCCCAAGAGAGTGCGGCTCTAAGCTATAGTTTGTTTAGCTTATACGTAAATCCAGCACTGATACTGACCTTAAGTCACTGAGCGTTTTAAAATTTTGACTTGTTTCAGGATAGGGTTGCCATATGTCCTGAATTTCCCGGACATAGCCAGGATTCGGCCGTTGGAAATAGTGTCCGGGTGGAATCTTGAAGGGCTGATTAACCCCACAAGTGTCACACCCATTTCTTTCTCCTCCCTGCACTCCCCACTGCAAATAGCTGCCATATTCCATAGATTAGGAATGCTGAACCTATTTATAAACCAGATTTATGCTTTTGCCAAATAGTATCTACCTCATTACACTTGGGCCTTTTCACCAATGGATGTTAATTATCTTGTATTTCAGAGCCTTTTTCAAGCATGCTGTGGACCAATATCAAGAGTTCATGATTTCATAAATTTTCAAGGGCTGATGATATGATGCAGTAATTGTGCTGACCCACACGCACAATTTAAACCACTTAATGTATGTTTTTAGAGTGAGCGAAAGGCTATATGTTCATTAGTGTGGCATTATTGTCAATAACAGGGCAGAGTCATTATCAGCAAATGATACAAATATGGGAGGAACAGAGGGTCCCCCCCCCAAATCCAACCCTGAACCATTCTCTTACTGAGATGTTACCAATGCTTATTGTTCAGCAAGACTGCACTATAATCCGAGTTTAATTGATGACATTTTTAGTCAATGTGGTTTGCAGGCTCTGATCAATAAAACTCCTTCATGCAGTTTGCATTGGCCAGAAATATATTATCTAAAAGACTGTAATTTGAAAGAAACCCTTATACTGAATGCCACAAAACAAAACACCAATAACAGCACATTAAAAGAGGAGGGCAGCATAAAATGCCAACAGAAACATAAC